GGGGGGGAAGCCCCGTGATTGCCATTTTTACTGCACTTTAGCATTGCAGTCCAGTGGGCGTCCAGCCTCTGTGTCTCTCTGTCTCTGTGTGTGTGTGTGCGTGCGTGCGTGCGTGCGCGCGCGTGTGCATGCATGGATGTATGTTTACACAGGTAAATGTACGCATGAATGCACATACACATGGATGTACACATGCAGGTCTTTAAATTTCTTTCAATTGTCTCATAGGACCTGAAACATTTGATACGGTACACTATATCGATGCACTGAAATGAAAGACGCCTAGAGGGCATCCTCAGAACTGACCCTGTGCTTGGCATGGCCTCTACAAACATGAAACCCCAAACCCCACCCTTTTTTTCTCAATGCCGGGGCGGCCTTGAGCTGCCAGGCCCTTAGGGCCCCGTCTTCCCCGGCTGTGTGCAGCAGGTTGGCACGCCGGTCCAGGTACATCGTGCGAATGGAGCCTCGAATCTTCGGGTTCTTAGGGTTCTTAGGGCTCTAAGGGATTTGGTTGTAGGGTTCAGGGGCCTCGAGGGAAACTGTATGAGACCCACATGTCACCGAGCCTTCGTGAGCCTCTGCCACGGATGTGATGGGCGAGATTCGGTCTTTGTCCAGCCTGCAGGGCCCCACACCATCTCCCAAACCTCTGGGAAAAGCTCTCAGCGCTGACGAGCGCCTCCAAGCATGAATGGAACCATCGAGGCCAGACGTGAAAAGCGTTCCTGGTAGGGAGAAGCTAGTGCACAGGTCGGCAGCACCCAAAAACACTGCGTTCAAAAAAAAAGTTCTAATTAAGACCTTCTCAATCTGCTCTGCAAGGGGACACAGTTAAACGAACTGCATGCAGTGAAAAGTTCGCGCCCCCAGCCCAAAACCCTGCAGTCACGGCTGGCCATATTAACACAGGTTCCCTTGTCAGCCATGTTGGGTCATGTTGGGTTTCGGCTCTCACAACCATTGCTGTGAATCGTCCGTTCTTTGGCTCGAACTTCATCGCCAGCGTTGGCTGCCTGCAAAGGACCGGCACAAAGAGCCATCAGCATCGACAGAACCACTCGGTACTCTTATCAATTATTGTGAAGATGTTTACCAGAGCAAAATCATCATCGCGACTAGTACGTATGAGTGCCTTATTTCTGACAATCTGGTTACGGCTGAAACAGCTCTTATGATGGTGCTGGTCTAAACCAAGCGGCTTGTTGTCTGTCTCCTGCGCTAGCAGTCGCAAGCGCCCGGTGGCCGGATCTGTCTGCCACGCCCTTATGCCTCCATCCATGCCTCGAGTGGTGCTGCTGCAAGTTCATGCCTTTATTGCCCCACCGACACCTTCCCAAAGAAACAGGGAAATAGATCGGATCGGGTGCCGCAACTCATGAGCAGCCGCGGCTTCACGAAGTATTGGAGGTTGAAGACCGGCGAACCATGCTCGTGCGAACCATCGGGGCAGGCTTCGAGCCCCCACTCCCCTTGCTCAAATGCCTGGGGAAAGCGATACGGTTTCCGATTGCAGTTCTGCAAACAGCACCCCCTGCCTTGACCATGCCGTTGTCGCCACAGCTCAGCACCAGCTGCCACCTTCAGGAAACTGATTCAAACCCAGAGCCGTCCGAGCCATAGGGAAAGCCAAAGCCAGAGCTATGTCCACCCCTTACGAGTCGCGTCGCCTTCTCTCACTTCAGCAGACTGAGACTGACCTCTTGCTTGGCTCCGGGCCGGCCGTTGACCAAGACGCCCCGCACACCATCCGGATGGGCACGCAGCGCCGTGCCCGTTTCTGCCAAAGCCACGCCCTGACGCCTCCAAGCCTGCAGTAGCAATGCGCTCACTGCAAAAGAACAGCCTCTGCTGCATATAAAGTTGGACAGGGTCATTTCCCCCCACCACCTTCACATGGCCGTCATCGCCACAGCTGACCAGCACCTCGTTGTCCACGTCGTAGTGGAGCGCGCGGACCCAACCCTGGTGTGCCCCGACTGGCTGACCCACCCGCTCCAGGGCGGCGAGCTCCAACTGCCAGGCGCGGACTGAGCCGTCCATGCCGCCGCCCAGTACCACCTCGAGACTCGAGACTCGAGACCGGGATACACGCGAGAGTAAAGTCGGAGCGCCTTGGAGGCCGCATCGAAACGCAAGACGAGGAGGCCCTCGCCCTGATCGGGCTCCCTGTCCAAAGGCAGCGGCTTCAGGGAGTCCCCACCTGAAAGCTCTCATGCAGTGTCTCGCACACCTTTGCAGCGTGCCGTGACAATTTCAGGCAGGGCGCTGTGCCGCCAGGCATTGATTTCGCTGGACATTCCCGCCGCAATAACAATTCCTGACACGCTGCGGCTGATGGTCCACGGGAATCCTCACAAACTGCAAGCTGCCACCGTCCTGTCACGGCATCATACGCCTCAGATACCACGCAATCTGATGTAGAAGGTCGCATCCCTTCGATGGTCTTCACCACTTACGTGATCTGTCAGATAGAGAAAACCCCAAGCAGCCAACTGGATATCAAAGATCACAACAAACTAATGTCTGATAGGACAATGCTAACCTACATGAATGGAGAGTCATGTGTAGTAATTAAACAGTCGTCAACTACCTATCCTAAGCCGGTTTCTGCCGCGGAGCTAAGGCCAGCACGCCAGTTTGGAGTACCTCTGCGCACGCCCACAAAGCTGCGCAGCCTTTATACTTGACATCGCTATTTAGATGTCTACATGCGCACACACTCGCACATATGTATATATATATACACACACACACACATATATATATATATGTGTGTGTGTGTACAAGCACAAGCACCGGAACCCTCCTCGCCATATGACGGGCATCGCGCCTGGCTTGATCGGCAAACCATCACGATCCTTTCGCTTGCATCCAGCTGCCACATACAGACGGCCTTGTCCACACCTTGCTGCGACTTCTTGCAGAACTTGCCGCTTCGGAAGAAATCAAGATTTGCCACACACAGAAGTTTGAACCGGTGTAACAAGCATCGCTACTTTGCCGTCCTGGCTACTAGTTGAGCTCATTGAAACACCAAGTGCGGGGCTCAAAATTCGCTAGAATCGCTTGCAGCCCCGATAACAACCACAACCTTGCCTGCCGTGAGCAGCAACTTTGAGGCAGCATCGAAGTTGAAAGCCAGAATCCGGCCACTGTGAGCATTGGCCTGGCACTCATACACCCAGATACCAGAAGCTTGGCTTCTGAAGGCTCAACCAAACCCGTGGATTTGCCATCCTGCCTGTGTAGCACAGCTTTAGTTTGCTGCAGCGGGGTGGTCGGGAAATCTCGAGGGGGCGTTGGCGAAATGTAGCGACACTTAACATGGAAAAGGTAACTCCTGAACACTTCAGGAGGCGAGCAGGCCTTCTTTGTAATTCGCTTCAGAATTCCAGCTCCGATCTCAATCTTCCAGGCACTGATTCCGCCATCGACATCTGCGGAATAGCCTTGGCGTCGAGATTCCAAAACTTCACGGAAGGCACAGGCAGCCTCCACAAATCTGAATTGTAGCGGTGCGCCGATTCCAGCCGAAGCATCAAGCTGAAGTGCCAGGATACCTCCACCTGTCACACAGGCCGAGTGTCGGCATGAGCTGCTCGGCAAACTCAGGACGAATGTGAGAAACGGTGTCGGCCCATGTGTGCGTCAGCATTGTTGTACACGCTGGAGGCCTCTACACATCTGTGCTCGACATGCTGCTTGCCTCCTGTGCTGTTCTTACGAGTGTAGCATGGCAGCCACCTACTGCCACAAGGTGAGATGTCTCATGTGGCTGCTCCGATCAACTTGTTGTGATCAAGTTGTGCTGGTTGGGTCTACAAGCACCGCAACCGTTCTGAGTTCTGGGGCAGTCCGTCGTGCTACTTACGATTGGGAGCTCGACCGAAAACCGTAACAAGCCTCCGGTCGAAGGCACAAACACTGGCCAGCCACCATGTCCGCAGTCTAGGGGTGTGTGTCACAGTCTCCCCGCCGCGTCTTGCTGAAACTGCCTACCCAAATTCGATCTGCTGGTGGTTGCGGTGGTGGACAAGAAGCAGCAGCCGCAGCAGCAGCAGCAGCAGCAGCAGCAGCAGCAGCAGGGGCAGCAAAAGCAGGAGGGGCAGAAGCAAAGCAGAAGCAAAACGTAGGGTAGAGCAAAAGCAGAAGTAGAAGTCGCCGCCGTAGAGGCAGCAGTGATAGCAACAGCATTTGAAGGAGCAGCAGCAGCAGCAGCAGGAGTATAGTAG